CGCAATATGGTTCATGGGGTCACGAAGAGTCGGACACGACTTAATGACTAAACAACAACAACAACAACAACAACGCACTTTACTTGAACCCATAATGGACCTTGGGTTTTACTGAATGTGATATGTGAATGCAGGCACAGTGGTTTGCAAACAAGGCCTCATAACTTAGTGTTATGTATGACTTGCTTGCAGTACTAATAAATGATATCTATAATGCTATAATAATTGCTATAATTCCTTGCCAAGGAATTGATCAGTACTTTTGCTATTAAATCAGAATCAACTACCTATAGCAGTGTTTCTCAACCTTGGCAACGTTAAGCGGTGTGGACTTCATCTCCCAGAATTCCCCAGCAAGTGTGCTGGCTCTGCATATCTCCAAAATGAGTTCAGGGTGTGTGTGTGCATATGTATGAATGACAAATACTTTTATATTGCTTCAGTCAAGTGAACCTAATTAGCTTTCAAGTAAAGAGAAATGTATTACATATTACAAACATAAATTAAACCATAACTTAACAACCCACAAACCTTAAACTTCATAAAATTGCAATAAATCTTACCATACACTTCCCTGATACCTCCTCCTCATATCCTTAATTCCCTAGTATGGCTGCTAAATACCCCAGAAGTTGCACTGCCCGTTTTTGGTGGTCAACTGCTAAGAAACAGAGGCACAATTTAACACCATTTGGGGGCAGCAAGCAATTAAAAACAGGCCTGCAAACCTTCATTTAGCTCCAACACATAACCCCACTTCGATTTCACTGCGTTGCCTGCCCATTCCAGCCTATGGTCGCTAAAAATTGCTCATGTTTCTGTTAACTTACAACAGGGTACGAAGTTCTTATTTTTGGATTGCTGGAAAATGCTCTGTAATCAGTGCTTAGGCTACAACTTTTCTTCTGTAGTCATAGTCTGATGTTTATTCACACTGCAGCAGTAGATTGCTGGGAAATAAGCATCCTTGTTTTTAATATATTTCCATTGTAATTAAAATCAATTTAAATTCCTGAGTAATCCTTGAAGTCAGTGGAAGTTGATGCAGATTTCTGACAGGGAGCTTTTTGATAGTTAATCAAAATTTAGTCAATGTTACAGAATTCTTCTAGACAGCTTATTTTTTTTATATAGTGTTGGTGCAGAGGTCCAGGTAGTTTTGCCTTCCCTAGCTAAGGATGGTTTTTATCACGGTAATGAAAGGATAAATCATTTTCTTTAGAAAGTCTACATCTTGCCCATTCTTTGAATATTATCAGCCTTCTTAAATTGTGGGACACTAATACAGTGGTAAAGTGGAAAAAGTGTTGTGTCATATTTGGTGACTGAAGAGTCAGTTTTTCAATTCCAATTAAGCTTGTGGAGAATCCCATCTACCACTAGTTGTGCATTCTGATGTAATGAAGCTTGAGACTCTTAATGTCTGTTGTCATTGTTTGAAGTGATGCTTTGTTCTGTGTGCATTATATCTCTATAATGACTTTGCTGGTCATTTAAAGATAATCCATTTGGGATTAGTCACATGACTGCGTTTTTGAGCCATTTACTATGCAAATAGCAAAAATGAATTTATTACAATTATTTTTATTTTTGTTCTCAGCATTTTATTTATTTATTGCCTTTGAGTTAGATTTGACACCTGGTGACTGCACAGGCACATCCCTGCAGTTTTCTCAGCAGTATTTTTTCAGAAGTGGTTTGCCACTGCCTTCTTCCTAGGGCTGAGGGAGAGTGACTGGACCAAGGTCACCCAGGTGGGATTAGAACTGAGGGTCTCCTGGTTTCTAGCCTGGTGCCTTAACCGCTACACCAAACTGGGTCTTAATTCTCTGCATACAAATCCTTATAAGTAATGTCAATAATTAATTACAGTTAACATTTGTTACATTTATTATTATAATATTTACTGTAAATTAAAACAAAATTAATGGTAAGTCTCCCCTTAGGGTACTTGGTGGTATGTGGCAGGCAAGCTGGGACAGACTCTCGTGGTCTTTGCCTGATGCCTATCTTTTTTTCATGCATCAGAATTATTATTTTATATGTTAACATTTAAATAGCACTGTGTACAAAATAACTAACCAAATATCTCTGTGTTCATATTTTTCTTTCAATCTCCTTTTTCAAATTTAGAGAAGTTGGAGGTTGCACCGCCATCCACTGGACAACTGAAACATGGTAAATGCTTAGGTCTATTTTGTATTGTTTTCTTTTAAAAAATCAGATATTTCCATGGGTTAGGGAGTAGACAGCCTCCAAGAACTGTAGTGTTACACCCTTAGTATTGGCTGTTACTTTTCATTTTTTGGGGGATAGTATTAGCCATGCAGTTATGGATTTGCAACAGAGCGGTCTGCTTTGATGGGGATCTCCTGAATTCTTCCTCATCTCTCCCTCAAATACGAGTTGGTTAAAATTGCTTGTTTAGCTGAGTCCAGAGCTGTGGTGGAAAGCAATATCACGGGTGATTGTTGCTGATTCCTCTGGGTAGCTGCTGCTTTTTCCCTGCATCACCCTACGGCGCGTGGCATTATCTAGAAAGTACTCCGAATGAGCCTGGCCTTTCAGAGATGGTCACTTTGGTGTTTGCGACCAGTGCATACAAATTGCTGGTAGTTGGTTGTATTCAAGAAAGTATGAAAAGCCCTTTCTGGGTTGAGTTATTTATAGAAACAGTGCGTCATGCCTGGAATTTTAAGCACGTTTCAGTCCATATTTGGATTTGGGTGAATAACAAATAATTTCATAGAGTGGGGCAAATGGAGATTAACATGCCTTCTCTTTCCTTCTAGTGTTCTTCCACAATGCAGTACCTTTTGTAGGCTTTGGATTTTTTGATAATGCAATTATGATTGCTGCGGTAAGTCATCTTGCTACCAGTCTTTATATGTACTGAATTATATTCCATTTCTAGTATTGCAGCAATGCAGTATTGCTGGTTTTAGTTCTGCTTTAACACACCATGACAAAGACACACTATCGCGCATACTGCTTTGGGGGCCTTCTGAAGGAACCTGTGAGCAGGTGTGCCCCCCTCCCCCTTTAACACTGGCATCGTTTCCTATATGAGTGATTCCTGAAGCTGTGTCCGTATTAATGCGTGGGTGATAATGAAACTCTCTGTTATTTTTAGGGCACGCAGATAGAGTTATCAATAGGGATTGTGCTTGGAATTTCTACTATGGCAGGCAAGTAATCAATGTCACTGCTGTTCATGTGGATTTTTATAGCTATTTATTTATCATTAACTTTTGTGTGTGCAGCGAAATTCATAGAAACCTTTTTCTGCTGCTTGAGGAAAACGTGTGCTTAACATCAGTGGAAACTTTGTCACCAGATAAAATTAGAAACACATACTTCTTTGCTTGAAGCTCCCTGATATTTGTCTCCTGTGTTTATCCCAATACAGTCTTGAATAAATTGTATCTGTGAACGAGGATGGCTTTTCTACTCTGTTTAAAATAGCTTCACCTGAGTTGCTTCCCAATATGGGTACAAAAGCATCTGGGGGGCCATTACTCAGTACGGGAAGCAATTGGAAGAATATGGATATTTTTGTAAATGGGGAATAATTAAGACTTTCTATCTAAACAATAAATTGGATGAATAATAATAATAATAATAATAATAATAATAATAATAATTATTATTATTATTATTGGAGGAAAGTGCTGAGGAGCTTCTGTTGACTTGTCCTGCTTGGACACAGCTTTTTGATTACTTTTCTAAAAACAGATTAAAGCATGAGTCAATTGGCATTAAGCCATTTTATGATTTTTGATTTTGGCTAAGTCAGCTGTTATCGTTTAACAATCCATAGTTTAGTGTGATATATAAATTCAGACTCTTCATTTGAAGAACTGGCCTCTTCATTGTGCTTCCAGCTTTTAGAGAAGATACATAGAAATTTGTTGTATCTTTTACACTTTATTTAATGGCTCAACTTTTTAAAGTTTGGTATAATTTTGAGAAGTAGAAAGAGTATGCTTTCTTCAAATAAACACTACTTAGTTTTAGTTTGAATTTTGAATATTGATTTATTATAGATAAAAGTTTCTCATGGTCTTGCTCTAAAGAATATGAGAAGAGTTCTCTTGGAGTGGACTGAAGACATATCTTAACAGCATTCCCTTCTCATTGAGGCCAATAAGAGACCTGCTGAAATAATATGTAGCTTTCATGATGCTTGATTTCTGGTTTGAGTTAATCATCCGTACATATTATACTAAAGAATGGAGAACATGGGTATGTAGGTAGTCCTTATGACCACAATTGGGACTGGAATTTCCATCACTGAGTGATACAGTCATAAAGCAAGATGTTATGTGACTACATCACTTAGCGATGGAAGTCCTGGTTGCTGTTGTTAACCGAGAATTGCAGGTCATTAAGTGAGTACCCACCCCAGTAATCGCAGGTCATTAAGCAAGTACCCACCCAGGCTTGGTCCTTCCCAGCCCCTACCTCCAACTCCCCCCACCCACATGTCTCCCCCACATCTCTGTCCTTTTGGCCACCCTGCACCCTGCCTTGCAGGGCGGCAAACAGCCCCAGAACTGTGCAGCAATAGGCTGTAACTTCAGGTCGTAAGTCCCTTTGTTCAGTGCTGCTGTAACTTTAAATGGTTACTGAAGGGTTGGTTGTAAGGCAAGGACTACCTGTAGTCTGTAGTGAGTGACGGTTCAACAGTATTATTCATATTGTTATATTAGTTTTCCTGGTTTCCAGTTTGTTTCTGGCTCAAATCAAGGTACTCTTTTTGACTTAAAAGCTCTCTGTCCTGGGGCCACAAATTCTCAGGAATTGTCCATCGGGGGGGGGGGCGGGGATTCTCAAGATCCTCTTCTGAGGACTGTGTTTCAGATTCTCAGTACCAAAAAGATATCTGAGAGAGCTTCTTCACCTTTAATAGCAATAACCTAGAAATGCTTTTGTTCCTAGGGATCAATTATATGCAGTTATTAAAAAAAATTGTAGGTTACCCTGTTAAATTTGTTTTGTTTTCATAATCTTTTTTTTAGTTTTCACAATGGCTGATTTATTGATGTTATGTTTTTATTATGTAATATGTTGAAAACCAGCTTTTATGAGGTATATAAATATATCCAACAATAGTCTTCAGAAGAAATTTAGCTTTAAGAAATAATATGGTTATAAAACATTTTCTGTTTATTTCTGTATTGTTACTAATTTATATAATGCTTGTGATTTTCCAACTATCTAGCTGCTGCCTTGGGAAATCTTGTCTCAGACTTAGCTGGATTGGGGTAAGTTTAATTGTATTTTCGTATAATAGAAACATTTCAAGGTTAAAATGACTGCTGGTCTTAGCGGAAAATATTTTCATGATAGCTAGAACAGCACCAGAACACTTTGAGTAACTAATGACTTGGTTTGAACATGCAAATGTTTTGCACATCCCCTCATATTTTTAATTTTGATATATTTATCGGGATTTGAGGACAGGCTGGTACAGAGTGGTGAAGCTGGAACGTGAGCTGCAATTCAAGTTAGGATGTTGGAACAATGGGTGTGCCTACAGTGTTGTGCCTGCTATGCTCAATTGAGTTCGTATTTTTTCATTCTGTTTTGAATTCTTACACAATTGTCACCTCAAGTAGGAATAGGTATTTATGTGAGGAAGAATGGGAGATTGATGAGTTGACATAGTACTGTGGCCCATAGAGTCATAGTTCAGGGAATCATGTTTTTATTAAATTTATATTCTGCTTTTCCAGGGAAAATGTGGCATTTAAGGAGATTTAATAAATTTAGCATGATTTAAGAATATAATGATTCGAAACAAAAATATTTCACCTTGTTTGAGTATAAAAAGAAGGCAAGAATGATAAAAATACTGATACTGGAGGGGGAAAGGAAGGGACTTTAGTTTTTGCCACCCATTCTAAACCTACTATTTACATCAGGATATTTGTGCATTTATGAATCACGCCAAACAATATTACACTCAAGGATAAAAATGTTCTCTTTTTTACTCTATAATTTATTGGTACTGGTTGGCAATGCAGAATTTTATAGGACTGACTCTTTAATTGCTTGCTACTTTTCTGCAGTTAATAAAAACTAAGCAAAATTTATATGTTTCAGAGGTTCTTGTGCTCAGTATATTTGTACTTTTCTCCCAAGTCTTGCAGGCTATGTTGAAGCTATGGCCTCCAGATTGGGTCTTTCAATTCCTGATCTCACACCCAAACAAGCTGACATGTGGCAAACACGTCTTAGTGCACACTTGGTGAGTATGTGTATTTATGGATGAGAGCTCAAGTGATACCAAGTCATGGAAAAATAGCAACTTCAATACTGCCTAAACACTAGAATTTGGATACCTACTATGTGTGCATTATTCCCTACTATTCCTGTGGGAATAAAATGGAAACGGAATCTTTTCAGAATATAGATTATGCACCAAATACACAGTTTTGCATATAACTGATTTTGAGAAGAGGATTTCAAATCAACCTAATTGCGCATTAATTCTTGTGCACGGTGGTGAGCTTCTAATCTGAAAACTTCAGCCAGAGCTACATAAGTGATGTTAATTGTATGTTCGGAATCTGATCTGACCCTAACTGTGAACAACCCATTCTTTCTGGTTTTTCCTTGTTTTAGGGTAAAGCTATTGGAGTGACCATTGGCTGCCTTTTAGGAATGTTTCCGTTGTTCTTCCTCGGAGATGAAGAAGACAAAAAACTGGAAGGGAAAAAATAACCTTTTTACAATGCTTATCTACACATATATAAACTCATGTACCTCAGATATACAACTATGCTGTCAAAGTATATAGGAATTTAGAGACGGTAACAAGCAGCATGCAATTTTACGGAAACACTTAACTTATTGTGGCTTTGTCTTAGTACATCTTTTTATAAGGGGTTTTCCTTTTTTTAAATGTAAATTGTTGACATGTGATGTCACATAACACTGATGGTTGACTTTTACTATGTCTCCCTCTTTGTTGGTTTCCTTCACCTGGATTGTTACTTTACTTACCTGTCATTGATGCAGTGTATAGCTTTTGGGTTTACATTTTTCTTAGCCTTTGGAAACGCATGGCACAAATTGCCCCAGATATTCATGGAATCCTCCACTCCAGACTTAGTGTAGTTAGGTGACGGGTGCCCTAGGAAATACCATGCTGTAGCTTTCTTGCTTTTATTTGTCTTGTGGCAATAATTGTACACAGGTGCCTGAAACAAAGCCTGTTAGAACAAGTGTTAACTTGAAAGGAGTGAGGGAGAGGTATTTGCTGTATAGCGAGGCCAAAATACAGACCCATTTATGGCCAGTTTTTTTCCCAGACGACACTCTGAGTATGTCCCTAAGTTATGCAGGTGGCAGCTTAGATCAAAGTAACCCTACAAGTCGGTATCTGCAGTAGTAGACAACATGCAATGCAACAGATTTGGAAAGCGTTTAAAACATCTTGCCTCTGCAGCAAGTAGTGGCGGTCTTCATTCTCAGATTTCCACTGTCGAATATTCTTACCAGTCTGTGTGCATGACTGTTTTGCCACAGTATTCTTGAAAATCAGGCTTAGTCTCACTTGACACATGAACTTCCAACCTTATTTATCTTTCTAAAAAAGAAACATAATATTAATCAGTCCAAACTTCATTCCTGATTTTAAGGCATTAAGGAAACATGGTGAAGGTTCTGTTGGATGCAGAAGAGAATGTGGCTGGTACGATGCTGTGTACAAGAACAGAAGAGCAGTTGTGAAGGGGAGGCAGTGGGCAAAGATGAGAGCAGAGGAGAGTTTAGGAGAAGAGTAAAGTAAAATATGAAGCCTTGAAAAGATACAGCTGTCCCCCAGAATGCGCTGGCTTTAGTGTAAAGCAAATGTCTGCCACTGTTGCATGTGTTCTGCTTTAGCAATTCAGAAATAATATTTGTGTCCTTGTCTGTGAACGTTAATAGGGGAGAATGGTAATCGGTCTAAATTTGACACCGTCTGGACGAGTGATTATTATGTGCAGACTTTAATTTACAGAAATAAACTTGTTTACTTTTCATTTAATGGGGTTTCTTTTCATTTTGCCTTGTTGTGCTTGTAGTTACTGTGCAGTATTCAAAAGAGTCCTTACAACTGAAACTTCAGTAAAGAGCATGATGTTTTCTTGATCATGTGATGGGTATATTCTAAGCATTTTGTTTTCATTAAATAAAGAGGACCATCTGTTCATCTGAAGTTTCCAGTGAAATATACTTACTGAAAGGCATGAATAGCATGTTTGACCACAAGATCATGTGCCTTGGGTTCTGCTGCCCCGACATTTTGCAATAACCCGGATTGCAGAGGGTGGACCATGTGCAGTCCTCAATTCATCTGCAGCCACTAAGTATTGCACTGCTAAAATTAGGGACAAATTACTACATTGGAGGAATACTGCAATCCATTGCTCTTATGGGAGGAACCAGCCTCCAAAAAGGAGAGAAAGTTGTTGGGGAACAATATTTGGGTTGGCTTTAAACACCTACAAAAATGTAGAGAAACAACACTGAAACCTACCCTGGACCTCATAAATCATTTTTAAAATGCAACCACTTATTCTGATAATGCCAATCCCCAGCTTAAAGTCCCATATAATTCTTTCCAGCTGGATGAAACTACTTATCATCTGCATAAGCCTTTACTTTCAGGGTGAAACTAGATAAAAATCCTATAAAAGTAATGAAAAAGGGCATTGCCTTGAAGGAAAAATGGAAATTCTTCCCCTCTTGTTTCCAGGCATGTGCATTGACTGAGTTCACACAAAGCACTAAGCTCTGGGGCTCTACATATGGCGTTTTGGAACAGGTGGAGGCTGCTGTTGCATGATCTAGGGAAAAGACGATGATGTAACACTTGCAGCCAGTTACCATATGTGCACCCTTGTGTGGCCGGAAGCACCTTCTTGCCTTTGAATCCAGAGAACTGCACAGCCCTTCTAAGCTACTTTGTGCTTTAGTGTATTGTGCAAACCAGCTGTTGTGGTTTATTCAATAAACCATTGTTCAATAAACTGGCTTAGCATAGTGGTTGAACTAACATAACATAACATTCATTCCTTTCTTTAGTTGTTTGTCTTCAGCATGTTCAGAGATACATGTAGTAAATATAAATATTTGTGGTAGCTCAGTGCATTAATTTTAGATCAACGCTTGCGTTCATCATGAAGCAAATATATATTCCTTGTTTTACATTGTAATTGATTCACTCTGGTTTGAAGAAGTTACATATAAAGAGGTAAGTACAGATTTAGTCATTTTTATTTTGATTTCTGTTGAAATACTTTGCTTATGTTTTTTTCCTAGCCTGGCTTAACTTTTATGGTAGAGTATTGAAACTTCCTTCAAATAGACAATATCTTTATATGAGCTGACAAACTGACTGGAAGACAAAATTCCATCCTGTGTCCTTTGTTACAGAAGAATACAAAACCCACCCAATGCGCAGCAATATTTTGTGTTTATGAAGTATGTAACTTAATAATCTTGATCTGTGCATTTAACTGATTATATTTTGTTACTATTATATGTCAGATTATTGGAAACACTTTTTAACAAAAGGAAATGAACTACTTATCTGATACAATATGTATTCCTGTATTAAGTGCTCCTTATTGTCATATGGTATAATGAATCGTGCCAGTCATTATGGTGGGTCTGATCTGTTAAGTAATTTGAGTTGTGATACTGAAAGGGTGCCATCATTGTCTAGAGAACATCTCCAAATGGCAATGTAGAGTCATGATCACAAATGTAATTACTATAATAGGAGATACAGTTGACAGAAACTCACAGTTCTAACTAAATATGGCCAGACTTTTAATTAGCAATGTTATCTAGCAGTACAACAGATATTGCTAAACTATTGCATTATGCATCTGATTTTACAAAAATGCAAGGCAAAGGGGCACATGAAACATAGCTAAAAGTCGTAGGTGTAATTCCACTTTATTTTGGAATGTAAGCTAATGGAAAAGCATAATCAAAGCCAGCGACCATTCACTGTGGAACATTTGCAATTTTGGAGATTTTTTGCTGCTGTTCTGGATCTTTTTGTTTAATGGGTTATCCCATGAAGACAGAACCTAGTCTGTGGAAGTTAACTTGGCCACTGGTACTTCAATGTAATCCTGAAATCTTCAGATCACCATTCTGAAATCTGTAGTGTAGGTTATTCTCACGTATGGTTTGTTTGCTAGGGTTGTGCTGAGTTTGGTGGAATTTTAATCAGTTCGAAGCAGCCTCTCTGCTTCCATATGAATGTTAAAAGGGATTTAGGTGCTCTTTGTCCGTAGCAGTCTCTTTCTACTGCATCAAAGCAGTTGACCCAATCAAGTCAAGGCATTTTGACCCACAGTTCAGCCCCACCCCATTTCAATCATTGTGATGATCCAGATCGAGGTAATACCTTGAGGTGAAGAAAAAGTGCTTCATGCCAGCCTGTTACTTACAATAATACACATTTCTCTCACTTGGTGCAAATTTGCTATTATGGAAATGATCGTTTTCATCCAAGAATTCACTTCATATATACACCACTATTGTGCTATTTGTGCCAGTATAGTTCTGCATCAAAAATCCAGAAATGTGCTAAGATGTCTTCCTGCCAAAACTACCATATGCACCTCAGTGGCGCATTTGTCATGTGTGGTTCTGGTTGTGCATCCCATTTCCCACTTCTGTACCTGCAATAGCTACTATTACTATGGGGTCAAAATGGCTATCGGCATCTTGTCCAACCCCCTTACCCAAAAGGTAATGGACCCATAACAGTAGAAACAAAGTGGGATGTAATATGCTGCCCTGAAGCTGATGAAGGATTCTCAGCCCTAGTACAAGCTTTTAATTTGGGCAAATCTACTGTGCACAACATAATGAAGAATGTTAGTACAATTTGTTACATCACGATGTATTTTACCTCTTTGTCTACCATGATAACCATGCACATTAGAAATCCACTGTAGAAAAGATGATAAAAATGCTTTCACTGAACATAGAAAATACATGATTGAATAATCTAATGCTTAAGAATAAGGCTCTAAACAATTGTGAGCACATTTGTCAATATTTTGGGGTTTCAAAATTGGACAACATACCCTACCACAGCCTTGGTTCCACTACAGTAGTTAGCGTCTCACTTTATGGGAGGTTTTGAGGGGAATGTAGTCCTACCATAAAGCAAGGGAAGCCTATATTTATGATACTATTATCTAACCACTACAGATGCTGCAACATTGCAACATAAACCCTATCATGCAGGGAAATTTATTTCTCTCTGCTGTTGTCGCAAAAAGGGCTAAATAAAGTGTGCATTTCAATGGCTTTTTTATTTGGAAATGGGGTTATGGTAGCTGGTGTTCCATGTTCATGAAGATGGGAAAATGTGATGGCTGTGATTACTATTCCTAACCTGTATGAATTTCAAGGGTACTATACGTGAATCAAAGTCAGAACTAATCAATTTAAAGATTAGGAATATAAACCTAGTTCACGGAATAGTTTCAAATATTGACAGTATCACTAACACCTGCATTACTGTTCATTACTTTTCACAACAAATGGAGAAATAGTTGGTTTCTGTTGTAAGGCTGAAGTAGGTTTCAATATCTTAAGTGTTTCAGGAGAAAGAGTGAATGGCTCTGGTATTTTAGTGTACATTTATGCTAACAAAAATGCTTGGATACTATTTCATTGGTTCTACATTGAATCATGTCTAGATGCATTAATATCACAGAGATCCAGTAGGTATTGGAAACCATGATAGGTCACACTGGAGTTGGATAGAAGTATTATCCCTATAACCCTAATGTTCAGGCAAGCTGATGTTGGGGAATAATGGCAAGAACAAAAAAAGCTAGGTCTTTGCATAATGTGTCCAAAGTGTGACAATTTGAACCTGGTCATTGGTACCTTCAGTGAGAATTCTGGGTTGCTTTGTTAAATTATGCATTTGTTTGTTTTCTTGGTGTTAGGGTTTTTCTTAATATGGTACACATCACAGATACAAGGACTGAAATTTTTTTCCCCCACAAACTATTTTATTATACAAACTTAAAGTCGTGTGTGTGTGCACGCATATGCACCTTCAAGTCAATTTTTGACGCCTGGTGACTGCCTGGACTAGTCCCTGCAGTTTTCTTGGCAAGATTCCAGAAGTGGTTTGCTATTGCCCCCTTCCTGGGTCTTAGAAAGAGTGACTGGCCCAAGGTCACCCTGTTGGCTTTGTGCCTAAAGTAGGACTAGAACTCACAGTTTCCCAGTTTCTAGCCTGCTGCTTTAACCACTACACCAAACTGGCATTTTCCAACACTACAGTCCTACAAAATTCATTCTTACTAATTTAGGCTAAGCTAATTGAAATCAGTGGGAACCAACATAATGTAAATCTTGATTCAATCTTTTATTTATAAATATGACTCCATGTATATAATTTGAACCAAATGTATATTTGGCT